AATACAATTGATTATTGCTTTAGCTGCACACTTTGGGGTGGAAAATATTTCATCTAGATGTCAAATAAGCTTTTTGGAATTGTGTTCTTGAAGAAGACGTGGATAGAGAAAACAAATAATACAGTCTGAAGAAAGCTCTCTATGGGTTAAGCAGGCACGTCGGTTGGAGAGAAACTACTATCTATGCTAAGGTTGGTGATAACTTTAATTAGTTCATTCTTTTTGTGAGATCCCACATCGGTTGGAGAGAGGAATGAAACTCTTCGAAATGATTATCACATGTTACCGTGATCGCATCCCTCATGGTTTTTTTTTCATGGGAAGAAAGGAGCAATTTGCAGACCCTGATGTGAATGGATCTTGTTGCACGTGAAGAAGTAGGAAGACCTTAAGCCAAAACCCTAACTTTTCCCTAAACTTTGCTTTTCGGCAGAGAGAAGTTGAGGACAAGAAATCGGCATCAACAACTTTGGACAATGCCACTTCACTCAATGTTGGAGTGAGCTTTAATCATTCCAGCACTGAAGGATAAAAAGGTCCCCTAAAGCATTTACTTGAACCTTTTCTATTCTACCAGCACTCACTCCGAAATGGCACCACTGCTAAGCAAGTGCTTGTCGTTCACTTATTAAGAAACGAGCTAAGCTTGTCGTTAAATTCCAACAATTTGGAATTCGCAGCAATGGCTAATACTTCCAACTAAACAATTCTTAGCAGCTGATATCAATGCAAAATCATGGTGACATAAAACCTTATGGGAATCTTTTTGTTTTTCTATTTCGAAAGAAAACTTAGGGGAGTCTAATTCTTTAGAGGTGGCTTCTTACAAGAACGACAAATCGAATTACCTAAAAATTCCATTAAAACAGTTTTCTGTAATCTGAAACGTTCAAACAACAAATGACCGATTGAACCAAAGGATTGAAAGAATCCTGTGTAGAATTGCTATCAGCAATCTTCAAACAATCCTTGGATTAAACATAACATAATAACAACTCCAATTTCATATCACAGCAGAATCTAAAAACTCCATTAAACGAATACCATTGATGCTTAAACCATAGAATTTCATGGGATAACTAATTTGCATTAGGCAACAAAGAAAAACCAGCAAGAACATTATTCAATTCAAGCTCACAACCTTCATTTCCATGAAGGAAAAGGGAAAAAAAAACTTACCCTCTTCTTTGGGAAGCCTGGAATCTGCAAATCTCAAGAGATTAAGAACAATGAAAACGAAGAAGCTCTTGGCCACCATCATCACCGAACTAGTTCTTCAACAATCTGAACTGAAAACTCAAAACACAAAGAACACTATGAGTAACAATCAATACCGCTACAGGCATTGATTGTTCAATCAGTGTACGTTACCGCTTCAAATTCGCCTAGGTCTGGAATGGATTGCCTGTTCGCTGCAGCAAACTCGTTTTCTCCTCCTCCGTGATAATGAGATTGAACCAAATTCACCAAGAAATGCAGCAAAATTTTAAAAGATATCGGTTTCTAGGCTTGTTCATTCTAGATTGTTACCCGCATTCGACAGCTGAAATGGGGTACAATCAAAAACAACCAAACCCAGAAACCCAAATTTAAAAGATTTTGACTGGAGCTGACAACAAATTTCAGGGTTCAGGGGAGATTCCAAGCGGTTGGTTTGCTGGCATTTTCGAAATCAAAAGCATGTAGAAATTTCGGAATTAGAAACCAGCGCGGCGTCTGTGTGTAATTTTTTTAGTAACACTCATAAAATTAGAATATTTAGCTTTTTTTTTTTTTTTTTTTTTTTTTTTTTTTTTTTTTTTTTTTAAGAAAAATCTTTTNGTCGAGGTGGGATTTTCATCCAACACCTCTCCTCGAACAAAGTACGTCTCCCCTTAATTGAGGCTCGACTCTTTTTTCTTTTGGAGTCTTATTCATTTTTTACTATGCCTTCAAGGAGGCTTGACTCTTTTTGGAGTCTTATTCTATTGACATGACTAAGTTTAGGGCATGACTCTGATGCCAGGTTAAATGAACACGAATCTCCACAATAATATGATATTGTCAGCTTTGAGTATAAGTTTACATGACTTTTCTTTGGGCTTCATCTTCTTCTCTTTCCTCTGAGTTCATCGTGGCGAATGTGGAGGGAAGTTCCCATATAATTTTTCTTATTTTTTGATATATTTTTTAAAAATTTTAATGGATAATTTTTTTTCTTTTCACAATATAATTTCTATTAAAAAACTTAAAATGTCCTAATAAATCTAATAATATTTCATCAAAAAAAAAAAAAAAAAATACAATTCTACACACTTATTTATTGACTAAATAAGTAAAGAAACAAAAAAAAGATTATATATATATATAAAACAGTTGTGTGTCTTAGTTTTACATATACCGATATATTTATATATTTATATATATATAAAGTGAGGCGAGGTGGGGAGACGGGAAATATAATCTTGATCTCTAGTCTAGTTCAGCTAATAAAAAAAAATCTTTTATCAATGTTCCATTTAATTAGGGATTCTCTGCTCTGTGTGGAGTTCCCCAGAGTTAAATAGATATCTTTAATATTATTGCATTATACATTTTTTATTTGATTGATTTAATAATTTAGTTTAAAAAATATGTATACCGAACATTTCAACTATCAAAATTCGACAAATCGACATTTATGAAGAACCATATTTTGTAATATATAAATAAAAATCGAATCTTTTTACGTTGCATTAGGTCTAATACGTGAAAGAGGATTTTAAAAGGTTGATTATTTAGGTAAAATCTATTAGATGAATAAAGTCCCACGACTAATTTAGGAAATGATCATAGATTTATGATCAAAGAATACTCTCTTCATTGGTGTGAGACCTTTCAGGAAGGCCAAAGCAAAACCGTGAGAGCTAAGCTCAAAGTGGACAATATCATACATTGTGAAGAGTCGTGTTCGTCTAACATGATATTAGAGTCATGCCCTAAACTTAGTCGTGCCAATATATTGGAGTTGAGTATCGATTAAGGGGAGGTTAAAATAATTGTACAAAATAATAATAAGACTAAATTCATAAAATGGTTAATATTTTGTTTAAAAAATACAACTGAACTTTCAAAAGTGTCAAAAATATCATTTTTGATAGTGACACGTTTTAAAAATACTCATGAACCTTCACAAGTAACAAGTATCGATAAACGGCTTATATTTATATATTGACGGTAAGAACTTTTATCTGTTAATACCACACAAATCCTTGGTGTTTAAACGTCTAATATCAATTTCTTCTATGCAATTGATAGCTACAAGACCTCTCATCTCCAGCAGGCTGCATCAGACAAGTAGAAATGTACAACTACAAAACACCAGCTAGACATTGGAATAACCGTGGCTTAAAGGACAAATCGTCATCCTATGTAAGAAAATTATGAACAAACAAGCAGCGGTTGTCTTAAATGATGCAACCAGAGAGATTTGTTCATGCAGAGCACGATGAAGCAGATTATCTCGTTAGCCTGGCACGAGTTAGCTTCAACGTCTCTTCAACATCGACTGTTGATTATGATTCAATTCGTTCTCCATACTACAAGTCCATCGATTTCAAGATCGTTATATCAAATAGAACACGATTCAAATGGTGTTCTTACATTTCAGCTTTTATACTACTTGTAATCATAGCACTTGCACTTCTCCTCAACTTTTTACCTCACAAACATGACAGCCATGAAGCCTCAAACAATCACAAAGTTGCAGTTCATCAAGCTCTAGAGTTTTTCGATGCTCAAAAATGTAAGATCCCCCTTAACTCGAAGCATTCATATAATCTTTCCATGCTCCTAACTGATAAAATCTTTTTCTCAGCTGGTAGGTATCCCGAAAATAGTCCAGTAGACTTTCGAGGAGATTCGGGCTTGGAAGATGGAGTTTCAAGCAATAAACCAGATGGCCTAGTCGGCGGTTTCTATGATTCTGGAAACAATATCAAGTTCACTTTCCCTACAGCTTATACCATTACTCTTTTAAGCTGGAGTGTGATTGAGTATCATCCTAAGTATGCAGACATGAACGAGCTTGATCATGTAAAGGATATCATCAAATGGGGAACTGATTATTTGCTCAAAGTTTTTGTAGCCCCAAATTCAACTTCTGATCAAACCATAATATATTCTCAGGTAAGCCATATGAGCTCTCAATAAGAACAAATAAGATATTCACAGTGCAGTTATTCCACAATATTGAATCTTCCAATGGCAAGTTTATTACTCAACATTATCTCTAATGCATGGTTGCTAGGTTGGATTTGTCGGTAATTGTAAGATCCCACGTTGATTGGAGAGGGAAATGAAGCATCCCTTATAAAGGTGTAGAAACCTTTCCCTAGCAGATGTGTTTTAAAATTGTGAGGCTAATAAATATATGTAATGGGCTAAAATGGACAATATTTGCTAACGATAGACTTGGATTGTTACAAATGGTATTAGAGCCAGACATTGAACGGTGTGCCAGCGAGGACACTGGCCCCCAAGGGGGGTGGATTGTAAGATCCCACATCAATTGGAAAGGGGAACGAAACATCCCTTATAAGGGTGTGGAACCCTCTCCCTAGCAGACGCATTTTAAAATTGTGAGGTTGACAACGATACGTAACGGGCTAATGCGAACAATATATGCTAACAGTGGACTTGAGCTGTTACAAATGATATCGGAGTCAGACACCAAACAGTGTGCCAGCGAGAACGCTGGCCCCCAAGGGGGGTGGATTGTGAGACCCCACATCAATTGAAGAGGGGAACGAAACATCCCTTATAAGGGTGTGGAAACCTCTCCCTAGTAGACATGTTTTAAAATTGGGAGGCTAACGACGTTACGTAAAAGGCTAAAACGGACAATATCTGCTAATGGTGGACTTGAGCTGTTATAATAACGACAGTAAGGCTCAAAATAATATAATAAAATTTATGCTCAAAATAATATAATAAAATAATAAATGGTCTTTGCTCGAAATTTTTGTAGCCCCAAATGCAACTTTTGATCAAACCATAATATATTCTCAGGTAAGTCATATGACCTCTCAATAAGAACAATTAAGATATTCACAGTGCAGTTTATTACTCAACATTATCTCTAATGCATGGTTGCTAGGTAGGATCTGTCACTAACGATAGTAAGGCTTAAAATAATGACAACTGTTGGCAAAGACCAGAAGATATGAGATATACGAGACCTGTTTCAGAGTGTGATGCCCGGGCTTCAGATCTCGCTGGAGTGGTTGTCGCAGCGTTATTGGCTGCATCGTTAGTATTCAAAGAAGATAACAACTATTCAGGAGAATTAGCAAAAGCTGCAGAGAAATTGTTTGAGCAAGTGACTAAATTAGACCCAAGTGAGCAAGGAACTTATACCTTAGTTGATTCATGAGGAGGAGAAGCAAGAAACTTCTACAACTCATCAGGTTTCATGGATGAATTGATATGGGCAGGAACTTGGTTGTTCTTTGCAACCGGAAACGCTTCATATCTTGCATATTCTACTGATGCTGTCCGGTTTCAGTTAGCATGGACCGAGGTAGCAAGTATTGACCAAGGGATTTTCGATTGGAACAATAAGTTCAGTGCAACAGCGGTAACTTGAATTGAAGTCTTATTTGAATTTCTAATAAAAGATGGAAGGTTTACACTGCTACTCTTTCAATAGGTACTATTGACACGCCTTCTCTATTTTCATGACATTGGCTACCCATACGAATATGCCCTACGAGCATCGTCAAACATGACAGAGATCCTCATGTGTTCTTATCTCATTCAGCAACACTTAGGACACCTGGTAAAACATCTGTTCAGATCTCATAGATCGTATAAACTTACCATCCACAGAAATAATATGTGTAGGTTTGTTTCCAGTAATAAGCTATTCTTTCAATCATGAATATAGGTGGACTGATCCTCCTAAGGCCTGCTGATGGAGCACCACTACAGTTTGCTGCAACAGCATCATTCCTCAGTAAATTGTACAGTGATTACCTTGATCTCTTGGGAGTATCTTATATGAGTTGCATTTTTGCCAACCCTGGCTTTTCTCTGGAAAAGTTGAAGGCCTTCTCCAGGTCTCAGGCAAGTGCAGAACTATTTTCTTCGTATTTTATATCCAAAAAATGTAGATTGTATTAACATTCCCCGGAATCATCTGTAACAGCCCAAGCCCACCGCTAACAAATATTGTCCTCTTTGGGCTTTACCTTCTAGGCTTCCCCTTAAGGTTTTAAAATGTGTCCATTAGGGAGAGGTTTCCACACCCTTATAAGGAATGTTTCGTTCCCCTCTCCAACCGACGTGGGATCTCACAATCCATCCCCCCTTGGAGTCCCAGTGTCCTCGCTGGCACACCGCTTGATGTTTGGATCTGATACAATTTGTAACAACTCAAGCTCACCACTAGCAAATTTTGTCCTCTTTGGGTTTTCCCTTTCGGGGTTCCCCTCAAGGTATTAAAACACATCTACTAGGGAGAGGCTTCCACAACTTTATAAGAAATGCTTCGTTCCTTTCTCCAACCGATATGGGGTCTCACAATCCACATCCCCCTTGGGGGCCAACGTGCTCGCTGGCACACCCCGCCCAATGTCTAGATCTGATACCATTTGTAACAGCCCAAACTCACCACTAGCAATATTGTCCTCTTTGGGTTTACCTTCCGGACTTCTCCTCAAGATTTTAAAACATGTCCACAAGGAAGAGGTTTCCATACCATTATAAGAAATGCTTCGTTCCCCTCTCCAACTGATGGTGGATCTCGCCATCTCTAGTTAAGTTGATTTTAGAAACAAAAGGTTCTACATTATGAGAAGGGAGGAAAGTAAAACTAGTTTTATAATACTATATTTTGAGAACCATTATTTTCCGGTTTCCAAAGAAGTTTTCACACTTGTCTAATTGGAAACTAGACCTAACATATTTTAGAAACATTGACATAAAAATCCTTCAGTTTAGATATAAGAATTTAATAGTGTTCAACACTTTTAGCTCAACTACATACTTGGAGACAATCCAATGAAAATGAGCTACGTAGTTGGCTACGGAAACAACTACCCCACCCATGTCCACCACAGGGGTGCCTCAATTCCTTGGGATGGTCAATTCTATTCATGTGCTGAAGGAGATAAATGGCTGTTATCTAAGGCTTCAAACCCAAATCTTCTTATCGGAGCCATGGTGGCAGGACCAGACAAGTTCGACCACTTCTCAGATGATAGGGGAAAACCTTGGTTTACTGAACCAACAATAGCAAGCAATGCAGGTTTAGTTGCAGCGCTTATTGCTCTACATGACTATCCAGGTGATGTTTCAGTTTATAATGGTAAAAATATAGGAATAGATCAGATGTCTATCTTTGATAGAATCCCTACGGCTTCTCTAGCTCCTTGAAAGTCCTAAGATATATGTTTAACTTCTCACAATAACAGAAATTTGACTTCAGAAATCTTCACTCTGTAATATCCCACACTCTTTCTTACATGCAAGAGTCTGAAA